ATATATATACATATATATAGACATATACATGCATATATGTATATATACATACATACATATACAAATATATATAATATATATAGATATATGCATATGCGCGCATGCATGCAAAGCTTGCATGCATTGCATGCGTATACAGCTCGGTAGGGGCGCTGGAAGGGGAGGGAGCGGCTGTCTGTACAGCTGAATATTTTCACCAACTCACGCGACTTGTAGCCTCTCGAGCAGCAAATCATTTAAACTTTGTTGAAAGACTTCCGCTCCCCTCGCCTGCTGCAGCAGCTGCGCTGCTACCTGCACTGTCGCAGCAGCAAAGCACTGAGGGTTTTGTCAGAAGGGGTTTGGGGTGTATAGACTTCAAACCCTCTTCTTCTGAACACTAGGAAAAGACAATTTAAAGCGCCATACACTAAGAACGAGTTGCACGCATGCATGCACTTGTATAGTAGAAGAAGAAACAAAAAAGAGAAGGTAGTATTTCGCTTCATAAGTGCAGTAACAAAGGCGACTAAGGTGTTTGCTGCTGCAGGGGATGAGGCCGCAGCTAGCGTGAGCTCGCTGCGGGCTTCAGGTGTACATGCAACTCAGCTCCACTGAATTATATATCATAGTTTGGGGTGTACGTACAGCGGAGTCAAAGATCCCCTGCAAATAAACTCCAAATGAATCGAAGAGCAGCGCGCTGTCTTCTCGGCAGTCATGCATCTGCATGCAACATCGCTGAAATCAATCAAGGGTTTAGGGTTTAGGGTTTAGGGTCTAGGGTTACAAGCCAAGCTCTCTGCCCCCCAATAAATCTATTACTCGCTTTTTTGTCAAGTATGAAGATAACTGCACACTGCAGCGCTTCCTTTTTAACAATGCACAAACCCACAAACCCAACGTAGAAACAAAGCCAAGAAAAACGCATTCTCTACTGTGCATGCATACATATATCCATTAGCATAACGCATGCATGCATGCATGCATGCATGCGTTGTAGGAGTTGCCTCACGACTTTAGGCAGCTGCGGGTCCTCTAGCAAGAGTCTGAGATGGTTTAACATTTGCTGGGGATTTTCTTTTAAGTCAAAAAGAGCCACGAATCCAATGTCTGCTGCAGCAGCAACTGCAGCAAAAACTTCTGCTTCAATACTGCCTTTTGCTGCAGTTGCTGCTGCTGCGGCAGTTGCTGCTGCTGCTGCTGCTGCTGTTCCATGTTGGTCCTCCACGACTCTACAAGCATTTCCTTTACCTTCTTGTAGCTGTGTTGTCGGTGTTGCTGCAGCATGAGCAGACCCTGCAGCGTCTGCTGCAGAGGCAGCAGCAGCAGCAGCAGGAGCAGCACTACATGTGTTTCTTGAGGGAGGTCCTTGATCTATGGGCGTTTGCCGCTCAACACAGAGCTGCAACAGAGAAAGGCTTGCACCACCTGCTGCTTCTGTTGTTGCTGTTGTCGCTGCTGTTGCTGCTGCTGCTGTGGCTGCTGCTGCTGCGGCTGCGGCTGCGGCTGGCGTCTCGTTCTTTTGTCTCTCAGTCTCTATCTGCTGCTGCTGATGCTTCAGAGAGGCGCAGCTCCACTCCAGGTCTACCGCCATAAGCAAAGAAACCCCCTTTGCATGCAGCTGCGACAAAGCTGTGCACCTAAACATTCACAACAGAAGAAGTTCAGGCTGTCGGCGTTGATTGTACAAATGCACTGGAGATATAAATAAAGCGAGAGAAAAAACAGGCTGCTGTCTTCAAGATCATACATATAATATATAATATATAATATATAGGGGGTAAACGCACCACATCTGAGCTGTATGCTCATCTTGTACAAGAAAGAGAAGCCGATGGCGCGAAGGGCCGTACAGCGCTGCCTTTTGGGGGCGCCCGCTCAACCTGAGGGCCCCCACGAGACCCAGCGTTTCCAATGCATTTGTTGCATGCAGTGCAGAGGAGTTGAGGTTAACTGCGCGAAGAATGGAGTGTACATCCACCTTGCGCTCCTTCCTGCAATTCGGGGCTGCTGTGCATAATGCAGAATGAGACGACAGACAACGATAGCCGCAAGATGCATGCAACGGGAGGGAGCCAGCTCTCCACAGAGTAGCAGCACCAGCAGGAGCTGCTGATGCTACTGCTGCTGCTGCTGCTGCTGCAGCAGCACAAGGCGCGAGAAATAAACTTCTGCGCAACAGCCAACCTGTCGGCGACGGCTTCAGGTGAGCCATTCGGAGAACGCCTCACTCATCTAGTTGCATATATCCCCAGGTGCCTCAAAATGATGTTTTTTGCTGTTGATTGCTGCGGGTTGCTGCAAACTGCTGGGAGAAGAAGCCGCATCGACGAGTGAATAGAACCACCACGCGAAGCCCAACGCCTCCAGCTGAGTCTGAGAGAAAGAAAATAAGCTAATATAATTTTAGAGAAAAGTACACTACTTGAAACAAAATAAAAAGACAGAATGGCATCTAGAAATGCCGCTAGCAGGGAAACAAGAACGGCATCAGGCGCCCTCGACGATAACTTGGACAGGAATTATGGGGGCCCCCCACGGGCCGTTTCATTGCCTTCTTAGAAAAGGGAGGTTGAAACTTTATTATTTTCTATATTTATTTATTTTATATATTCATTATTAACTCAATCCAAGGAAAATACTAAAGCTGCTGCTTAGTTGTAGTGACGTGGGCTTCTGCGAGTTGTCGGGTGTCTGTGCAGCTCATTTTGTAGAAAGCTTTGTATGAAATCTCTGCTACTGGAAGTAATCAATCGATGGAGCGACGTTGCTCTGTTTGTTCGACTTTTATATTTCCGTGTTCTACTTGCAACTCTTTTGTCTTTGCTTTCCACCTTGCAGCAAAAAAGCAAACAAGAAAGTCATCAGCCAGATCTGTTCTGCACGTACACTCAGGGAGTAACCACCCGGCCTGGCGACGAACGCAGTTAAGCACTTCAACTTCTCCTCTTCGTCTTTGCTTCAACCTATCGTGAAGGCACGCTTTGAACCATCTCATCTTCGTTAATTCCAACGCTACGTAATACCCAAGAAGAAGCGGATCACAGCCTTTTTTTTCTACTCTGGCTGCCGCAGTTCCCGTTGTGCAGTTCACGCATTCTTTGCTCACTGCACGCGTTAATTCGCTTTCTTAGCGTTTTTGAAGCAAAATGGCTGACGCTCTCTTCTCGGAACATTGTCTGCGTACACTGGAGAGCGCAAGATCGTGGGTTTCCGCTATAGACTGGCGCCAGCAAGAGTATGAAATCGGCAAAATGCTGTCCAGTATACACCAAAAGATAACGAAGCTTCAACTGTGGCGCCGCCAGAAACGCATCGGCTCCGCTTCTAACGGACGCGCGAAACGCAGGTGCATTGATGAACGCGTTTACAGCTGCATGCGGCAGCAGCAGCAGCATCAGCAGCAGCAGCAACACCAGCAGCAGCATCAGCAGCAGCAGCAACACCAGCAGCAGCATCAGCAGCAGCAACAACACCAGCAGCAGCAACAGCAGCAGCAGCAACACCAGCAGCAGCAACACCAGCAGCAGCAACACCAGCAGCAGCAACAGCAGCAGCAGCAACAGCAGCAGCAACATCAACAGGTAGCGCGAGGATACCACATGGAACAGACTGTGCCGAGTGCGAATACTGCTCGTTGTATACCGTTTAATTACTTCGAAGAGCTCCGCGAGATAGAGCTAAGAAGCACTGCAGCACCTACCCCCACGTAAGCCATTAATTTCTTTCTTCTTTCTTCAATTCATCTCCTCCAGGCCTGCAGCTGTGCCTTGCTATGCTTCGGGGGGCCCCGAGAGACAGATCTGCTCGCCGCCATCAGCAACGAGCGTTACCTCGGCGCGGTGAATATATATATATATATATATATAGTATTTGTTTTTATTGATAATTTCTTTTTTATTAACATTCCCGTTCTCAGGACCCACGAGCCGTGTGATATGAACGAAGGAGTCAAGCAACGCCGCCTGTTGGTGCCTATGCGTGAGTCTGCTTTCTATTCAGAGAGGGGCTGCTGCTTTATTTGTTTTATAAACATGTTCTTGCATGCAGTCCCAGGAGCAGCAGGCATCCGCATTGCTGCTACCGCTGCTGCTGCTGCTACTGCTCCCCACGTTAATGCTGCAGGGTAAGCAAACAGGCGAACCGCTCCTGCTGCTGCTGCATGAAAACATAAACCGACGGCTGCAGCAGCGCGAGCGAAGTGCAGCTTAGAGACACCGCAACAAACCTCCTCAGATCCTACCCTCTGTACCACGACGCTGAGCTCGGTAAGCGCATCGAGTGTATGCATGGACTTGCATGCATGCATTGCGTGCATTCTAAACATGCACTAATTGCATGCAACCTAAACATGCATTGCGTGCATTCTGAAGATGCAGTATACAAATAGATTCATTTAATTCATATAATATATATATATATATATATATATATTCATGCAATTGATGTTGTTTATGGTGCAGGGCTGGAGGAGTTGGGCTCCGCGATGGACGCAGAAATGGCCGCAGTGCCGGTGAATTGCAGAGAAGACGACGACGTGCAAACCACCTCTGAAGTCCTCGCGTTGTAAGTGCATGCATGCATGCATGCATGCATGTACGTATGCATGCATGCTTGTATGTATGTATGTATGTATGTATGTATGTATGCATGTATGAATGTATGTATGTATGCATGCATGCATGCGTATTTGCATTCACATTTTCGTGCATAAATATGCATGCATATTTGCATGCATATTTGCAAGTGCATTTGCATGCATGCATGCATGCGTATATGAGGAAGGGTGCATGACTATAGCGTACAATTCTATTAGTGAATAAATAAGTACATATATATAGAAATATATATCTATTCTAATTTCTTTCCTGCTTCAGAGGCGTAGAAACTGTTGAGCGGTACCTGAGCGCTCTGCTGCTGCTGCCGACTTCGCAAGTCGAACGCCAAATCGAACGACGCGTCGCCGCACTTCGCAGCCGTCTCCTTAGGCCTTGAACAGCCGCCCCTATATATTGCTTTATTCAGTATATCTATATCACCTACAAATATGTACATATATATATATATATATATGTGTGTGTGTGTGTATATAGATGTGCATTATGTGAATATCTATATATATGTATATACTAACGTATATACATATACGCATATATATGCATATATATAGATATGTGCATATATATATATATATATGCAATAATGTATGTATGCATGTATATATATGCATGCATATTGCATAAACGCAAAATTTCAATGGAAATTCAAGGCGCCGGGTTTGCAGAGTCCTCAGTCCCAGTCAACCCACCCGCACCTACTGAAGCCTCTCACTCAGCAGCTACAGCTGGCAGCAGCAGCAAACTACAGCAACACAAGCGCAGCAGCAGCAGCAGCAGCAGCAGCAGAAGCAGGGGAAGCAGAAGCAGCACCGCCCTCCGCGCAGACAATTCGTACAATGACAGCCGCTAGGGCGTTTGCTTTTAACTGCCTTTATTAAAAACGTCGAGGCGTCTGTTGCGACCCCATAAACAAAACAGAAAAAATGGTCGAAGGTTAATATTATATTTGCTATGCCAACCCCAGCAGCAAAGCCGCAGGTCGCTCAGCACACGGCATCCAGCGGCTGGGGTCTTTTCGATATTATTCTGAATGTCTTTCTTTCGTTCGGATATGCAAACAGCAACTGTGCAACCAATCAGGTGTACGTACACCTCAAGCACTGCCAACGGCCGCACTCTTCCCTCCCCAATCCCTCTGCTGCTGGCAGCACCACGCAGCAAACGTGCATGCAGTGCAGCAGCGGCTTTGCAATTGCGGCGACAGAAGAAACCTCTGCATTCAAAAAGTAACGAACTAAACGTCGTTCCTTGACCTGCTACCCAAAGGCCTACTGGGGGAGGTAAGGCGGACCCCCGATGCTGCAGCGCCTGCAGCAGCAGCAGCAGCAGCAGGAGCCGCATGACAGCTGTTGTTGGAAGCTTTCCAAGCAGCAGCAGCAGCGGCAGCACCCCCTGCTGCAAGCGAAGGGATTATAGGCGTTACGCTGCCCCGCAGCAGCACATCGAGAGGCGCCGGCCCCTCAGCTGCTTCAAAACGTAGCGAAGCACTCCTGTCCTCTAAATTCATACTTTTACTTTTACTCGATAGAGAGCTGCAGGAAGAACTCAACAGGCCAGATGGGTCTTCGCCAGATGTTGCCTTCGAGCGTCTGCAAAGAGCGACAGAAATATAAAATATATACTCATAAAAAACAAACAAATGGATAGATAGATAAACAAATTTAAAAAGTCTATCAGAGAACATGCAGGCAGATTATCATAAACAAACACGAAAAAAAGAGTACACAAACAACAAACAAACTACTAGACAAACCAACAAACAAACATACAGCTAAACAAATAAACAAACAAACAAATAAACAAAAAAACAAATAAATGCAAATAAAAAACCCGCACCTTTTCGCCAGCATCAGTCGGTCTCCCTGCCCTTCGTCTCCATGCTCAGCGATTTGTTTGTCCTCCAACCCCATATCCTAAACAAACACCAAAACCCTAAACCCTAAACCCTAAACCCTAGACCCTGACCTCAAGCCCCTAAAACCCTAAACCTTAAGACTTTGAAACCTCCAATCTTGTCTTAAAGCCTCGAATTGACAGCAAATAATGCGAGCCCCCGCGTCCTTGCAGGGGGGTCCAGCTGAGGTGTACAGACAGGTGAACAGATCAGGAAAGCCCTCTGCTCAACCTCACCTCTAAAAGAAGCGTCAGACTGTCAACTCCACTGTCCCTGGCTGCTGTACAAGAAGAATGCTGCTGCTGCACTACAGGTAGACAGCCCGGCGCAGCATCCAGCTTCATCAGTTCGTCCTGTGTGTACAAAAGCATACAAACATACGACCTAATATATGCAAATCAGAAGTAACAAATGAACAATACACAAAAAACAAACAACAAACAACAGACGAGCAAACGAACAAACAAACAAGCAATAAACAGACAACACCAAGCAGCATACAGGCAAACGCCAAACAACAAACAAACAAAAAATAAGCAAGCAAACAACAATCTACAAACAAGCAGGCAACAACAACAAGCAACAAACAAAATAACAAACCAACAACAAGCAACAAGTAAGCAGACAAGCATCAAACATCCAGAAAAACAACAGCAGCAACAGCAAAGACAAACAAAAAGACAAAGACATCACCCCTACCTGAATAGCACACAAGAAATACTGTTGAGGGCCCAACACGCTTCCGGGGCGGCAAATTCGATTCCATCCTATCCAAGGTAGAGCTGGGAACCTGCAGCAGCAGCAACAGCAATAGCAGCAACAGCAGCAGTAGAAGCAGCAGCGGTATATAAGGATAAAGGCTCAGGCATTTCTCCTCTCTGCCTGCACCGATCAATGGGGCTTCCTAGCTAACTTCATTGCTCGTTTTTTTTGCAACGCATGCACCGCACGCATGTTGTTTGTATATATACATATATACATACCACACTTATATTTATTCTTGTATTTATATTAATATGTATGCGTACTTACGTATGTAATATACATACATATACATACATCTGCATACATATGCATGTATATATATATATATATATAT